TGGGGTTGTTAACCAATGTCATAAAACAATATGTGTACTACTGTTTAATGAGAAACTATTTGTTCTGTAAACCTTCACCTTCAATATAATTAAAAAAAGTTAAAGGCCACAGACTTCCAGACTGCCAGGTAGGCCTAAGACCAGGTGCCAGCAGCAAGTTTGGGAGTCTACAAGACACCCTTCTTTCTACGTGGGATGGTAGCATGCCCTTTGGGACATGGAAGCTCTGTGTTAGGACAGACCTTGCCCTTTGTATGCTTGCTACAAATGCAGGGTTTTCCCACTGCCCCTTGAGGATGCCCCTGCAAGCTTGGGGGTCTCCCCTGGGCTCTCTCACTTCTAACCTGCTGGCTGCAAATTCGGGGTTTTGCTACTACCCCTCCAGGACACCAGCCATAAGCTTAATTGTTCCCAGAAGCTTCCCCCCCTTCACTTCTGACTTGCTGACCCCCACTACTCCCTTAGGTTTGATAATTCACTAGAATGACTCACACAACTCATGGAAAGTGTTATGATTACAGCTTTATTATAGCAAAAAAGAATACAAATGAAGACACAAAGGGCAAGGTCTGGGAGGGTTCCCAACACACAGCTTCCATGTCCCAAAGGGTGAGCTACCGTCCGACATGCATTGACGTCTTTCATCAATCAGGAAGCCCATGGAGCTTCCATGTCCAGATTCTTTACTGGGGCCTCATCGTATAGGCATTATTTAATGAATCCTGACCCCCTCCCTCTCTGAGGTCAGCTGATATCAGGCCACCTGGTGGTCTTTCTGGCCTGGCCAGTCCCCCACTCGTTCGCACAAACCCTCAGGTGTTATCCAGAGGTCTTAGATAATAAACCAAAAACCAAACCCACTGCCATGGAGTTGATTCCGACTCATAGACTGTCGCACAAAATTTCCAAGGAGCGGCTGGTGGATTCCAACTGCTGACCTTTTGGTTAGCAGCCGAGCTTTTAACCACTGCACCACCAAGGCCCCAGATGATAAAACTAAAAAAAACAAATCCATTGCCATCAAGTCGATTCTGACTCATAGTGACCTTATAGGACAGAGTAGAACTGCCCCGTAGGATTTTCAAGGAGCGGCTAGTGGATTCGAACTTTTGGTTAGCAGCCGATCCCGATCTCTTGATCACTTTGCCACCAGGGCTGTGCAGATAATAAAGACACCTCAGTTACTCAGGAAATTCCAAGAGTTAAGCAATCTCTCTCAAGAAACAAAGGCAAAGACCAAATTACTTTGAGTAAAGTTAAATTCTTTACTCCACAGGGGGAGTTTTCACCAAAGATGGAGGATTAACGTCCCTATACTGAGGATAACATGATGAGTCCCCATTCTTCAGCGCTACAGTAGTCCCTGGAAGAGCTGGGAGGATAATTGTCTTGCTAATGATGGGACCCTCCCTTCTCTGATTATGCCAGCTTGGACCTCTTCCTCTTCTCTATTCTCCTACCCTAAACCACTCCATCTTCTAAAACTTTAGGGTGAAACATATATAGAAGAGGGAGGCTTCAATTTGCACTCTAGAATTGGGGCAAGGGAGTTTCTTCTCCCTTCCTTGCATTCTCTCTCATTTCTCCTGAATCTCTCTCCGGTTCTGCTCCTGGCCCTGCTTCTCTCAGGAGTGAGTGTCCTTCTGAGACAACAAAGGCAGCAGAGTTGTCTACCTTTCATAATTCCAAGCCCATAATCAGTGATGCCCAGAGTGACTCACTTAACCCTCCAGGGTCAGGTGCTTCATTCCCACAGCCAGTTCCTGCTGGCTTTCCAGCCAAACAAGCATAACTTCCAGTCAATCCAGTTTTACTACTTGTTTTGAATGATGAGAGAATGAGCTTTCCACTGGAAACTGAGAGCTGCCGCTGCCTGAAATGTTTCACTTTCCCTTCCTTCATTAGATAAAAACCATTGGAGCACTGTAAAAGCCATAGAAGGTCTGTATACACCTGGCTGTTACCTTGCGGGATCAAAAGTTTCTAACCCTAAAGCTGAGTATATATGCTTTCTGTTGTTTACCCTTAGGATGTTTTTGCCAAATAATAGTTTGAAGGACATCTAACTGGTATGTAAGACTGGATATTGTTATTAAATGTAAGGAGGGAGAGGGAGAGGGGAGGCAAATACAAGGCCAGCGACAGAAAATAGGGCTTAGCACTGAAATAGAGACATGTTCATGATGTCTGGCAACCCTGAAAGAGCTCTAGACCTTAAAGTGGACCAATGAAGAATGAGAAGTAGGAGTTATGTGGTTGTTTTTTTCTTTAGGTGGGGTAGGGGTGGGTGGTGAGGTTTGCAGAACACAGGGCAAAGTCCGAAATTGTTTTATAAACTATTGTAGCTACATAAGCTATTAAGTGACCTAAATAGGCAAGAAAAGACTGTTTCAAAGACCAGCATGAGAACAGAAGAGACACTTCAGAAATATATCGTTCCCAAATTTTAGTCAGAAGATAAACCATCCTAAATATACAAATTTTTGGTCCAGAGCTTTCTAGTGTATGGGATACTGCTTTGGTGGAAAGTCCATTTTATTGTCATCCTTTTCTTCACAATGAAAACCAAGGTCTCCAAATATGAGGCAGAGGTCCAGGTCTTTACTAGGACAGGGAAGGGGGGTCGCAGGGTGTGGTAGGTCCCAACGGGGTAACCCCTCAGGCACTTTGTCTTTGGAAACTTGTCCGGTACCAACTTGTCTGGGGAAGCAGCGGGAGGCACTGGGATCATAAGATCCTCAACTTCATGAGTGGCAAGACATCAGATTCATCTCCGAAACAAGTTCCCTGTTGCTTTAGGTTGCTTTGCTGGAGGTGACTGCAGGTGGCGACTGGGCCCCCGGCTGGGGAAGGCACAGCAAATGTGTAGGGCTAGGGACCAGACTAGCAGCCCTGGAGTCTACTTTGACTCAAGGCGACCCCATGTGTGTCAGAGAACTGAGCTCCTCAGGGTTTTCAATGGCTGATTATTTAGAAGTAGATCCCCAGGTCTGTCTTCTGAGGCGACTCTGGGTAAACGTAAACCTTCAACCTTCCGGTTAGCCGCCGAGTGCGCTAACCGGTTACACCACCCAGAGGCTCCAGGGTTAGGGAGGGGATGATAAAAGGGGCTTCCTAGAGTGCTTTTCTCTGGAGGAAACAGCTGGGAAAAAGTTGTTGGCCGCCTGGAGACTTCGGCAAAGTGCTCGGATCCCTCCTTGGGGAATTCCAGGAGCTGCATTGGACGGTGTCCTTCCACGGTTCGCCGCGGATAGGATGAGGATGGCCCCCGCGGGACATCTTCCCCTGCCCACGTATCCAATAGCCCACGCCGGCCTTGGCTCACGGAGCCAATAGCCGACTTCAGTCGAGGCCCGTACAGCCAATGGCCGACCCAATGCGTTCCGCCGGTGAACACCCTCTGCCTGCGTCCACCAATCAGAATTCGGGCCACCCTGGCACCGCCCCCGGGCGCGCGCCCCACCCATCCGCCCCGCCTCCAACTCGCTCGAGCTGGGCCGGGCAAGACGGGCGCGCTCTTGGGGGCGGGGGGGGGGGTCAGTCCCGGTCCCGGCCCTCTGCGCGGGTGGGCTCGGAAGAGGCCGCGCGGGGCAGCAACCGTACTCCCACTCCGGAAGCCCCCTGCCCCCTCTTACCCTTTCCCCCCCGGCCCATGGTGCGAGGCTGGAAGCCGCCGCCCGGGCCGGACTGCGGTGAGTGATCCCCAACCCCTTCGACTTCCCCTCCTAGCCCCTGTGCGGTCCCCGGCCTCCGGAGTCCCATCCCCGCGCTGGGAAGAGAATTCTATGTTCGAAGCCGCCGGCGCTCCCTCCTTTCTCTTCTGGACTTTGCGGCTCCCTGTTGTATCTGGGGTAGGGTGAGTGGGTGTGTAGGGAGGAGGGGGAGGCTGATTTGGCACGCCCTTGAAGTGGGGAGGATTGAGATTCGCCTGTTTTCCAGGGCTCATCGCCCCAAGTGTAGCAACTTTTTGTTCTCTGACCCAGTTCGGAGGCTCCTAGACTGCTTGTGAAATGGAGGACAGGAGAAACGTTTCCTTCCCAGGTCTAAACCCACCCCACCCCACCCCCGCCACCCCATGGCTACTTCCTGGCGACCTCAACACACGTACCTGACCTTCTGGGGAGCAGTGACCTTTGGGAATAAAGGGTTAACGAGAAACTGCCCCTTCTCACCCCTAACCAGCCATACTCAGAAAACCAGCCAGGAAAATGAGAACTCGAGTCCTCAGAGGTTCCTGGTGTTGCGTCCTCCATCTGAGACTTCTAAACTGAAAGAAGACTCAAGATGAGACCTACTTGGTAATGTGGCCCCAAATCAGATCTTTTTATCCTGTGAACCACCTTCTCGCCATACACTGGAAGCCCTTTTATGTTATATGATTAAGATTGGTAGATGGCAGGTAATCAAAACAGCCGGTTAGAGTTGGGAATTTAAAAAACGATGCATACATATCTTAAACATAATTAAAAGTACATTCATTTCACCAATATTTTGGTATACTGCCAAGATGGTTTCTTTGTGTAAGTCTAAGTCTGCTGATTGGAGTTCCCAGTTGTCTTTCTAGTATAAACTACAAGAGTAATTCTCAAACTCTGAGAACTTTTAAAATCTACTGATGCCTGGGCCACACAGTCCAAACTAAAACAGAATGGGGAAAAGGAGCCTGGCTTTTTTTTGTTTCTTCCAGTTTCCCAGGTAATTCTAATGTGCAGTCCTGAAATGAAAGCCTCTGCCTACTATACCCATAATCTATCACCTGTGATTTCCAGTTTGTTTCTTTAAGATGGAATGAGAATTTAGACACTTGGAAGCAATCTGAGTGCACATTGAGATTTTTAAGGTCCCCCACCCCAATCTTTTACAATTGTCTTGCCCACTCCCAATTCAACAGTTTTAAAAATGTATTCTCCTTTGTGTCATGTCTCAGTCAAATCATTTGACTTGGTTTTCATAGGAACAGTTTTTAATGCAGTAATTTTTTTCATAGGTTTATGTGATATTTAATTACATTATAGAAATACAGGAAAAACTACTGGCCTAAGCAGGTTTGGAATCACACACAACCGGCTTAAGCACACAAGGCAGCTTGAAGAAGCAGACTGAAGCAGATTTTGTTGCAGTGGAGAATATAGTCTGCTAGCCTATAGTGTTCAGTGCACCATGGGTATCACTAATGTAATCCAGTGGGTCCACCAGGCTCCTGGTCCAGTTGAATACCTCCGCCTTCCACTCTCTCCAACTAATACCACTGATCCCTTCTAGGCCTATTCAGATTCTTGAGTCTTCCATCTACTCTTTCTATTCATTCACATCAAGATGTCTGTTCATCTTTAAGTGATTACCACTACTGCCTTAAATTGGGAGGACATAAAGCAGAGGTTTTTAACTTGAGCTCTTGGCAGGCAATAAACCCACCCCCTGAGATTATTTATATATAAGTGTGAATGTTTATTGTGGAAGGGTAGTCATAACTTTCTGCGAGTCCATAACTTTTCTCTGATTCTCAGAGGGGTTCATGATCCAAAAGTTAAGAACCATATAAATTGAATATCACTAGTTCTTTCAGGCCCTTAAAACTGTATCACCAAAACAAATTTCAGGCAGTATGTAAGTTCTCCTCTGAATAAATATTTAAGGAGTTCAGAAGGATCATATCTGTTGCCCTACTTTGACGGTCTCCTACTTTAACCATAAGCCTAGGCTCAAGTTCTAAAGTCCTCTTTTTCCTCAGACTATGTGAAGAATTCCTCGACTGGAAGCTTAAGGTAGCCCCTTTTCTGCCATCTGCCCAGAGGTGTGAAAAGCCTGAGCAAATTCCTTCTGAGTGTTAACACTGACTCCATATTTTTTATTAGTGACTTTAAGTAGCAATAGGACATATCTGGCATAGTATCCTTTGTTAAAGATTATATCCTTATTAAGGATACAGATTTAGTAATTATTCAGAATGGACTCCCCCCACCCCCCAATCACCTCTGCCCTAGGAGCCCTTCTCCAGCTTTGAGTCTCTTCTTTTTCTACCTAATCCAAAACAGGCATGAGAACATAACACGCTGTATGTTCACTGTGGTTTTGATTACTGTAGGGTGCCTACCCTACTGGTTACAGTTCTCATGAGCCACTCTCTGATTGTAGTTTCCTCCTGTTTCAAAGCCAGATTCTTCTAGGGAGGTACCAGCTATACAGCTGCCCCTTGATTTAAGCCACCATTCTGTTTCAGTAAGTCTTCCACAGTTTGTGTTTTCTGTAAGTGAAAACTGCAGCTGTTTACAGTACACCAAATATATTACTTGCATTACTGCATGCTACACTGAAATATCAAGCTGATGCCATGAGAATCTAAAGGATATCAAATAAATGATACGAACTGAAAGCAAAATGCTTCCTTGTAGGCTTGTAGCTGTGCCTGCCTTGTGTTCCTGTCTGGCAGTCTTCATCCTCACATTGGATTGCTTTATTCCTTATACTACCTTTTCCTCATATCTAACATGTTGTTGTGTCCTTATGGAACAGTTTATGTGAGGGTAAGTAGATGTCAAGTGTTGCAATTATGAGGTACTCTCCAGCCTGGATCTGGTGGTAGTCCTGCTGGGCCACAATTTCTTAGCGGTAGTTTAGCACCTGGCCATGCAAGTAATTCATCACAGGCCGCTACCAGGATGAACCTGGGAGGAGAAGGGTGGAACTACCACATTGGTAATGCACCTGGCTATCAAAAAGGATTTATCCCCACATTATAGAATCAACTTTCCAAAGCAGTGGTTTTCATACTTTTGTTAAAGCTGCAAAATCCGTTCTGAAATTGTATCCAAATCCCAAAGTATAAAAATATAGATACCCTGGTTTCCTCCACTGCTAGTTAGAACTCTATAAAAGCAGACTGAAAACAGTAATTTTCAAGGACTCGGTTTCTTTCCACTTTGTCTAGGAGGAGCATTTACCTTGTATCAAAATCACCCCATGAAGCTGAAGTAACAATAAAAGCTACTATTTATTGAGTCTTTAATGTCAAGTGCATGTTTTCACTTAGTCGTAACAAACTCGCAAGGTAGATACTGTTATTACCTCTTTTCTGATGGGAAAATAAGGCTTAGAGAGGTTACATAACTTGTCCAGAGAAAAACAGCATTCTAGAAAGTGGCAGACTACAATCTCTAAGCAGCTTCTTATGTCCTGCCTATGCATTATTCTAGGTTTCCTGGGTGGTGCAAATGGTTCGTGCTGAACTACTAAATGTTAACATAAAGGTTGGCAGTTGGAACCCACCCAGCAGCACCTTACATGAAAGGCCTGGCGGTCTGCTTCCTTGAAGATTACACCCAAGAAAACCCTCTGGAGCAATTCTACTCTGTAATACATGGGGTGCCCTGAGTCAGAATCAGCTTGACAGCAATGAATGTGGTTTTTGGTTTTATGCATAGTACCTAGCACATAGTAGGTACCTGGTAAAAATACCTAACAGTTTACATACACTCAGCATTGTCTCCATTTTTTACTCATGAGGACAATGAGGCTCTTATAAATTCAGTAACTTCCCCAAGATCATATAGCTGGTAAGTGGCAGAGCTGGGATTTGAACTCGCAGGTCTGCCTTACTCAAGAATTCATCTTTCTACCCACTATACCATGCTGGAAACCCCAGTGGCATACTGGTTAAGAGCTACGGCTGCTAACCAAAAGGTCTGCAGTTTGAATCCACCAGGCACTCCTTGGAAACCCTATGGGGCAGTTCTACTCTGTCCTATAGGGTCACTATGAGTTGGAATCAACTCGACGGCAACGGGTTTGTTTTTTATGCCACGCTACTTCTGTTTACCCTCTTATGGTTCGTTCTCTTCCTCTGTTGCTTTTAGGCTCTGCATGACCTTCAGTTAGATTAGTTTGTTAAAATGGAATAGTGACATGCATTAAAATGTTTCTGAATTTCTCTAATCATATAAAATTCCTGATACTACATTGCCCTATCAACTTTCTGGGCTTGAGATTTATTTTCTCTATTCATCTTGTGCATTTTAATAGGGATCCTGTGTCATCCTTAACATGTCAGAAGTAATATTGATAAACACAGATGGGATTCCCCTAAGAGGAAAGGGTGACAGATGTGCTACAGGGTCTCTAATGCCCCACATGGGGAACTGAGTTAAAATTCTATCAACAGAATTATTTTGGGGAATGACTTGAGGAGGCATTTCAGGAGTGAAGCAGAGTCAGGAGCTATCCCTGCAGTCCCCACACCCGGAGCCCTGGAGTAGTGGTGCTGTTGGGTGGTTTGCAGGAGCTGGCCACGATTTATGATAGGCCTGTCCACCTGGACTTGAGAAGAAAGCTGGACTGAAGAGATAAGAGCAGCAGGCCTTTGGTCCTGTGTAGAAGGGGCTGTTAAAGTCTGAGGGAGCTTTATGGATTCCCTAGAGAAAGGCTGAGCAGCTGGAAGAGACAAAGGCTGGGGGAGGGGATAGATAACCTTTGTTCCAAGGCTGACTTGGGGGAGGAAACAGTTCCCTCTCTCCATCCTCACATGACCAAAACCCAGGGGGAGCGAGCCCTATTAATCCCAGATCTCTGACCTATCTTTCATCCAGAGAGATGGGTTTAGGGTTTAAAGGTACTATCTCCTCACCCAGTGCTCCACCACCAAGTTAAAAAGAAAGAAAATGGGTCAGGGGGCTGGGCAGAGGAACTGCTTGTTCCATGAACTTAGAGGGTGAAAGTTGGGGATAACTTACAAAAGTGAGGTAGAATTGAAAAGTAAAGGCTATACTAAGGTGTTTTCCTTCTTAATCTCCAAAGACATTTCTGTGTGTGTGTGACAACACTAGTCATGTGACTTGGGGTAGTTTAACTTCAGTGGACTTGTCTTCTCATATGCAAAGTGGGATTTACATCAGGCGCTGATGATTTCCCAAGGTTATGAACATTAAATGAGAAATGGTTAAAGCACTTTAAAAGCGATACAACTTGGTACAAATAGAAAGTTGATTGTTTTGGTGTCCAGCAGTTCAAATGGTAGAAAGTGGGCAGTGTACCAAAGAGAAGCCTCAGTGACTAAGCTGTTTCTTTTCTTATTACAGCTATCTCTGACGAGCACAAATCAGAAAACACCATGCCTCCTAATAAAGAGGCCAGCAGTCTTAACAGCTCACCAGCGGGCCTCATCTGCCTCCCTCCAATCTCTGAGGAGCTACAGCTTGTGTGGACCCAAGCAGCTCAGACGAGTGAGCTGGATGACAATGAACACTTGCTACAGACTTTCAGCTACTTTCCCTATCCCAGCCTAGCAGACATTGCCCTTCTCTGCCTGCGTTATGGGCTACAGATGGAGAAAGTCAAGACTTGGTTCATGGCCCAGCGCCTCCGCTGTGGCATCAGCTGGTCATCTGAGGAAATAGAAGAGACTCGAGCCCGAGTAGTGTACCATCAGGACCAGCTCCATTTCAAATCTCTTCTCTCTTTTACTCATCATGCAGGGCGGCCCCTGGAGGAGATACCTCCTTCTCTTAGCGAGCCCACTCAGATGAAAGGATTGAAGGTAGAGCCTGAAGAATCCTCTCAGATACCACCAATGCCACTGAGTCACCAGAAAGTAAAGGAGCCCTTGATGGCACATGGCAGTAGGGCATTCCCTCATCAATCAGATTTTTGGCAGGATCTTCAAAGTAGTAGTCTCTCTAAGGAGCAGGCAGGCAGGGCTCCTGACCAGTCACATGGCCTAGGCACTGCTTCCTGGAACCACTCCACAGCTGCCCACCAGCCACGTGCTTCAGAGAAGCCCTCACCATTCTCCTTACTTGCCAGTAGTTGTAAGAAGGAGTCAGCATCTAGAGTGACTCCTTCCTCTTCCTCTACCTCCTCTTTCCAGGTACTAGCTAATGGAGCTACTGCTGCTTCTAAACCCCTCCAGCCACTGGACTGTGTCCCACAGCCACTGTCACCCAATGAGCAGACACTACCCCCACATCTGGAGCCAGCCTGGCCCCAGGGGCTACAGCATAACTCAGTACCAGGTAGGGTTGGCCCTATGGAGTACCTTTCTCCTGATATGCAACGCCACCAGCGAAAGACCAAGCGCAAAACCAAAGAGCAGCTGGCTATCCTCAAATCCTTTTTTTTACAGTGCCAGTGGGCACGGCGTGAGGATTATCATAAATTAGAACAGATCACTGGTTTACCTCGGTCTGAGATTATTCAGTGGTTTGGTGATACACGCTATGCCTTGAAGCATGGGCAACTGAAGTGGTTTCGGGACAACGTAGTACCTGGTGCCCCTAGTTTCCAGGACCCAGCAATTCCCACACCATTACCAACAGCCCGCTCCTTGAATGAATGGGCTGAGACTCCACCTCTGCCTATCCCCCCACCACCACCGGATATACAACCCTTGGAGAGGTACTGGGCAGCCCACCAACAGCTACAGGAAAGTGATATTCTTCAGCTGAGTCAGGCGTCAAGACTTAGCACTCAGCAGGTACTGGATTGGTTTGCCTCTCGATTACCTGAGCCAGCTGAGGTGGTAGTTTGTCTAGATGAAGAAGAAGAAGAAGAGGAAGAAGAACTGCCAGAAGATGATGGGGATGAAGAGGAGGAGGAGGAGGAAGATGACAATGACAACGATGATGATGTGATCATACAGGACTGAGTGGGGGTGGCTGGGGGAAGGGAGTCTTACTAAAAGATGAACTAATTTAGTAACTGTTTAAACAAAGAACCCACCTTTTTTTAAATTACCTTCTGGCAAAGAACTGAAAAGCTTTGTGTTCTTGGTGGTGGAGGATGGGGATGTAGCAAGGGTGGAGCTGGGAGGATGACCACAGGGCACAAATTTGAGGTGGGGATTAGATGGGCAGAAATCCATGTCTCTAACCTCAAAAGAGAGTGCTAAGGATCTGGTTCAATTAATGGGCTGGGAAACAACTCTTGCTATCCTCGTATCTGCTGCTCTTTTCCCTTAGTTTACTACCCAGACCTTGGCCCTACATCTATAGGAGGACTGGAAAGGAGGAGTAAAAAATTGATGACTCCAGTGCTTCTGCCAGTCCCACCATTTTCCCTGGAATATGCGGCTGCCTTGCATCCCTCCCTTCTCTTTGAGCACAAGTCCACGGACGATGCAGCTAAGAATCTCAACATATCCCTGTCTCTTCACAAATCTTTCTTCTTCCTCCTAACAACCTGACTTTGTGTTTTACCTGTTTCATTATTGAGTCACACAGGTAGCACAATGTTTTCATTTCTGATACTGGAATGCTGGGGCCACTTTGCCTTGTACCTTTTATCTTTTTCCAAAATCCCCTCTCTGTTCACTGTTTGTCTCAGGGTAAATCTCTACTGAGCTTGTGAAAAAGTTTAATAACTGGGTGGGGAATAATTTAGACTGGATATTTATTGGAGGTGGGAATTAGGGGAGATGTCCTTAAAAAAGGTAGAATTACGTTAGAGAGGGATGGAGGCGAGGGGTGGTTTCCACTGGTAAGAACAGTGGAGGTAGGCTCCAGGTTTGGTTTTACAATCCTGATATTATCTCCTGCCCAGCTTGCCAGAGTCTGGTTTTTCATCTTTTTGGTGTTGGCTCAATTCTGTCCAGAAAAGAGACTTTTCCCTCTTTTATAGTGTCTGTCTTGAGAACAGAGGGACAAATGTCTTTAACTGAATTATTGTTTTAGAATGGTTTTCAACAGTTGGGGTCAGATGTAAAGCAAATAGATATCAATGGATAATTTACCATCTAAAAAGAGTGGAAGCCCCAAATTGCTAGAATAGTAATAATAAAAAGGCCAAAAATAAAATTGTTTCTCTCTCCTCCACTTTGCTACATTAATATACTTAATATACTTTTTTTGTTAAAACAGTCATTTAACAAAGTAGACTGATGAATTAAAGGAATTCAAAGAGTACAAGGGAACTGGATTTGTTGGCAGCTTGAAATACTATACAGCTCAGACCCAAGCCCTTTAGAGAGAATTTTCTAAATTGGGATATTTAGGAAATTAACATCTGACTTCTGGAACTAGCTAAGATTCAGTCTTCACTCTGGATGTACAGTGAAATTAAACCTGAACGTCTTCCCAGCTTAGCATACTTTTTAAGTTTTTTTCCCCCCTTTTTTGAAGGGGTACGACATGTTGAAGTACATTAAAACAAAAACTGTTTAAAAGGCAGTAAGTCAGCATCTGTCACCAGGCAGATTGTTTTCCAGTCATCTGATGGTAACGATTAAAATTTCTAAGGCTTCATCAGTGACAAACATACAACAGTCTTGGAGGTGACTCCACCTTGTCCAAAAGAGAAAGTGTCTAGGAATGGCATTAAACAGTAAATTCAGAGTATCAGAAAGGGCAGTGGGATCCTACTTCAGCTGCTGGATCCCCAAGACCTGCTAATGGCAGACACCTGCTATCATGTTTTTTCACTATTTTTGCTTAAGGCCTGCCTGCCAGTGACATACCCATTTAATCCCTTCGTTTCTACACCTTATTACCCAAAGTGAAATAAAGGTTTGACTTATCTCAATAGCAGTGCTTGCTCATTCCACCATTCTAGAGCCTGAAATAGCAGTAGAGTTGTAGTAGCAGTTAAAGGGCAGCCTCTTTATTTTATTAGCCACATACTTTAGTAAACTGTTATCATTTTGATAGAAAGGCAAATCAACACACAGGTAGTTCCCAATTTACAACAGAGCTCTGTTCCGACGAATCCATCGTTAAGTCGGTTCTGGCATAAATTGAATTTTTTTTTTAGTTTTCATTATTATTGCCTTTTATTATCAGTATCTTTATAAATCTGATCTTTGAACATCTATGAGTCAAAATCTGAGAATGATAACATCAGCAAATCATGTGCTGCAACACTGTAGTACATATTCTGAGAAGATGTACAGAAAACAAAAAAAACAGATGGCCGTAAGTGTGGTTTGTCATAACTTGAACATGTCATAAGTCGGGGACTACCTGTATTTAATAATAACTAGGCAAACTGAAAAGTATAAATTAGGACAAGGAACAGAGTTGTTGCTTATTAATACTGGCAGTGGGAAAAAGTATATCCAAAGCTAAAAAATGACACCCAGAAATGAAACATGGTTGATGAATATATTATTCCCTCCCCAAATGATGCTAAGAACTGTTTTTACAACCTTTGTTTCAAATTGTAGGAAATGAGCTGTGTGTGTCTTGTGGGAGAATTATAAGCATCTTCCTGAAGCACTAGCCTTATATAAGGCCTGACCACTTTCCTGGGAGGTAATAGAGGGCGTGTAGGGTAAAGATCACTTGGTACAGAGTGAAACCAGGAAACAAGGCAGGGGTACATTTTCCAAGGTCATCACCCCTAATGGGTATTGGATGCCACAGTCCTTCAGTAGTATGTATAGATCAGACCTTGAAGATGGTCTGTCTGGAGGTGGTCCATGCTTCTCTCCCCCTGGCTAATCCCATCTGCCTCTGTTGTTGGTAGACCATCTGCAGCAAAGGACAGGAAAGCAGATATGGGTGTTTATAACAACAAAAAGGGCAAGTAAGGCTCTCTTGAGCCATAATAGGAAGTTACTGGGGCAGTAAACCATTGCTGCTACTTTCCCATAGTTTTCTCCATTGCTTGATAACTTTTCCAAATTAAGATCTGATACATCTAGTCTGAGGAAAGCTTTGTTGCTATGAAACTCTGCAACATTTCAGTGGCTTCAGGCAGAATATTTACAAATCTAACTATTTTGGAAAATCTGGAACATATGACTACCACACCAGAAGTCACTACCAGGGAGGCAGAATTCTTATGCCTCTGGGGAGGTGGCACTTTCTACAGTAACTTTTTAAAAACTTTATTATGGAAAATTAAAAAAAAAAACAAGTAGAATAGTATAATAAACTCACATGTGCCCACCACCCAATTTCAACAAATAATAATTCATGGCCAATCTTTAATTTCTACTCTCCCACTGCCCTCTCCACTGGATTATACTAAAGCAAAACCCAGACACCATTTAACTTCCCATCCATATACATATATTTCATTGTAAATCACCAAAATATATGGACTGTTTTAAAAAAACATAACTATAATATCACACTGAAGAAAAGTGAATCCCTTAATATCAAATGTCCTGTCATTATTCAATTTTCCTCTGTCTCATAATTTTTTTTTTTTTATAGTTTGTTTCAATCAGGATCCAACAGGGGCCTGTATTTGCAAATGGTTTAAACCCTATGGAACACAGTTCTACTCATAAACGGGGTCTCTGTGAGTCAGTTGACTCGACAGCAACTGGTTTATATGTCCCTTAAATCTTTTTAAATCTGTTTAATCCCTCCATCTGTGAGGATCTTAGGGAGGGATGTTATTTCCCCACTTTGCCTCTTATAGTTTAGACCCTAGTTTCTTGCTGACAAAAATACAGGCCATTTTGGGATATGGGAGCAAAATACACATTTACCTTAGTATGAAGCAGCTGTCCCTGGGGTTACTAGGAGCTTGGAATGGAACCCAAACCTACTAAATCCACTGCTGTTGAATCAGTTCTGACTCACAGCGACTCCATAGGGTTTCCAAGGCTGTAAATCTCTACGGAACCACACTGCCACATCTTTCTCTCACGGAGCCGCTGGTGGTTTCAAACCGCTGGCCTTTCGATTAGCAGTCGAACATTTTAACCACTGCACCACCAGGGCTCCTTTTGGAATGGAAAAGGGACCTAAATATCCTCAAAGCCCGAGCCATGAAAGTTAAAAGATGAGACTGGACTTTTCATTCAAAAGAGCTCCTTACAAACCTCTCTTCTCATTCCTATGCCTTTTTCCTCTTGTTGCATGGATCCGAATCAAGACCCATAAATTTACAAAACATTATCCTAGCTATCTCTGGAGAAGTAAAAGTGGTTTTTCCTAGTTCTAGCAGAATCTCCACCCAGAAGATATATTCCACTGAAAATGCTTTGTTGAGGGACTATTGGGAGTGTCAGTTGTTTCCACACACTTATTTCACCCTGGTGAAGCGCTCTTAAACACTTTTGCCACTATGTGACCTAAGTTTTAAACCCCAAATCAGGAAGCTAATCTGACAGTAGGATAGAATCTTTGAAATTGAGACCATCCTGGAAAATTGTGAACATATGGTTACTATACTTGAGACCCATGTCAGTCTCCACTGCTTACATTTTACTACCCTAACATGAGGCCAGAGTGATGCACAGACAAGTTAGACTGGTCGGAGCTCACCTACAGGAATGGTAGCTGGGAACTAGGAAGACTCTCTAGTGTTGTTCTGCTCTCCCTCTGACCTGAAGGATAGAAAGGAATGGTGAAAGGTAACTTAACCTGGAGAGTTGCTCAGCAGTGTTACTTAGGGTCTAGGTAACTAGGTAGTTCTTAATCTGAGGAACACCACTCAGAAGGGAAAAAGACCATTAGCTAAGCAATTTAAGAAGTGGGTTATAAAGTCCATTCTTTTCCTGTAAGAACAGAGAGGTATGAAATTTGGGTTTAACTATGAGTAGAAAGATGTAGAGGCAATATAAAAATTCTGATAAGCTAGAGAGATGACAGCCCCTTATCAAGGGGATTGGTAGAAAAGATACCCTAACTGAAAAACATGGGGAGAAAAAGGGATATTAGTTTGATAATTCTCATTCATAACCATGCTCTAGCAATGTTCAACATAGCGATCTCAAAAAAAAAAAAGAAAAAAAAATTCAGCTAATCTTAGAGGCTAACTCAACTGGTGAGAGGATGAGTGCTATTCAAGAAAAATCGAGAACCTCTATGGACGCTCCGAGGCTTATTATTTAGCCAGTAGGAAGGAAATGGATGACTCTCGAACATTAAGGCACCAAACTGGAGACAATGCTCTTTAGGGACCAATTCCAATTCATTTTCTCCTTGAAAACTTTGATTTTAGTAAATGTGTAACAGTTGAAGCTCCATTCCTTTTGGAATGTTATTTAACTTACCTGAATGGCTGGGGGTGAGGACTCTTGTGTGGCCTGAATCCCTATCATTTAGGGATGGTCTGAAAGAAAAAATCCCCTGTCCAGAGGAGGCAGATGAAGGTCTAAGAAGGGAAAATAGGAGCATCAGCAGAGAAAAGGAAAGATAAACATATTTAAGAGAAGGGTCTATACTTTTAGACCAGAGAAGAAAAACATCCCCTGCTTGCAACTGAAAATAAAATCAAATAATTCAGATGTAGATTAGACACGGTGCTATTCAACCCTCTCTTTTGTTTATGAGGCAGATTATACACTTCAGTGGTACAGGCTGGTGGAGAAGTAACCCCACGGCTGTGGGCAGAGTGTCAATATGAACAGACCCCAGATGAAAGGAAGCGTAGTGTTACTCACCTGTAACATAGGCTGTAAGTGGAAGCTGGTGAAGGGGTTTCTGTAAAGCATAAAAAAGCCTGTGAGATAACCCAGACTGGAGAAAAGATTCAGATATACTGAGTACTAGGGCAGAGTAACTGAAGGACAACATTTTAGTACCTATGTTAGGCTTGGGAACTAACGGCAAGTGAAAAAGTTCAAGAATTACCTAGCAGTGTCTCATAAAGGTGCTTCCCTTTCCCTTTTATAAGCCTGTGGACCACGATCCATGACTGCCTTGATATGCTATAATATACCTGCGCCTTGGTTTCCCCTCTGAGATGGAGATTACCAGGAAGACTGGCTAAATACAAAGGGTCACTAAATTGGTTAGGAGTGACATCAGCAAAAATATCTGCATAAGGACCTGTGAAGATTCTCTCTTCCATAAAAGGAATGAGAACACTGGCAAAAATTGTTAAACTTTTTCAGAACTCTGGAAATTAACTAAGGGCTTGCAGGATTCTAACCAAAACCAAACCAAACCCGTTGCTGTTCAGTCAATTCTAACTCATAGCGACCCTACAGGACAGAGTGGAACTGCCCCATAGGGTTTCCAAGGCTGTAATCTTTACGGAAGCAGACTAACGCTTCACTTAGCAGCCTAGCACTTTAACCACTGCATCACCAGGGCTCCTGTGCAGGATTGTAGAGACTGTTTGTTTATTCAAGAAAAAATGGCTGAATGTCAGTAAGAACTGCAAGCTTTGTGGTATTTTAACTTGACCTATTCTCATTTATTCTGCAACAGCCTGAAAACCAACAGCATGGCAGTCACCAGAAGGGGCAGAACAGGGCTGGAGATCCTTCCAGGCCTCATTCCCAGAGAACTGTCATTATTTGATCAGTATAGTGGTTCCCTGGAAGACCTCACTTGCAAGGGTGTCATTATTTGACCTGACTTGTTGCTCAGAGCTCACCAAATGGGAAAAAGCCTTTTCCCCAAGGATATTTGTTGAAAACAATCAAAGGCAATTGTTTAGGCTGCCAGAGGAGGTGGATATCACTTGAGGGAAACACTGGCTAACCAAAAGCGTAAAAGGAAAAACTGGGGAAGGAGCTGCCCATAGGGGCTTTGAAAAGCTCTGACATCCTTGGGACTCTAGAAGGCCATGTGCATGACCACGGCTGTGCACATGCTCAGGAAAGCCCTGAGAATGTTCTAAACTCTCACTTCAGGCTGTCTTTCAGGCTCCACACAAGAAGTAAATGAAGGTTAAGGTGGAGTTGTCAACCACCTGGATGAGTATTGAGGGCACGAACCAAAACACACAGAGTTCCTTGGCAAAGACTAGGAGACTTATTGATTCTCAGTGTTTAAAGAAATCTCTGTCTAATTATTAGCTAATCACTAAGCTAACTGAGTAGAGACTTCAGTGGCCACACATGTAAAAGAATAAGAACTTTACAAAATCAGTTTAAAAATTCACTAAACAATAACAACAAAAAAACAGCAACAACAAACCTAAGGAAGGGGTAGAATCTAATTTCTACAGTTGCCATGTTATATTATTTAAAACGTCTAGTTTTCAACAAAAAAATTATGAGACATGGAAAAAAAAAAACAACTCAAGAAACTATAGCCCATACATAGGAAAAAAAATCAACAGAAAATGTCCCAGAGACAGCCCAGGCATTGAACTTACTTGACAAAGACTTTAAGTTGGCTATTTAAAGTATGCTCAAGGAACTAAAGGAAATCACATCTAAAGCACTCAAGGGAAGTATTAGAATGGTGTCTCACCAAATAGAGAATATTAATAAAGAGAAATTATACAGAAAGTAACCAAATAGAATTCCAAAGTTGAAAATTATAATAACTGAAATGAAAAATTCACTAGAGGGACTTATCAGCAGATTTGAGCAGGCAGAAGAAAGAATAAGCAAACTTGAAAATAGGTCAATTGAGATTATCCAGTCTGAGGAACAGAAAGGAAAAAAGAATTAAAAAAATGAACAAAACCTTGGAGACCTTGATGGGATACTATCAAGCATACTAATATATACATAATGAGAGTTCTAGAAGGAGAGAAGACGAGGGAAAGGGGATGAAATAAATAATGGATGAAAACTCCAAACTGGATGAAAAACAATAATCTACATATCTGGGAAGCTCAACCAACTCCAAGTAGGATAAACCAAGAGATCCATATCAAGACACATCATAAACTGCTGAAAGACAGAATCTTGAAAGCAGCAAGAGAGAAGCCACTCATCACATACAAAGGATCCTCAATAACACTGATTTTTCATCAGAAACCAAGGAGGCCAGAACACAGTAGGATAACATAAAGTGCTGAAAGACTGTCAACCAAGAATTCTATACCCAGCAAAACTATCCTTCAAAATGAAGACATCAAAGTATTCTCAGATAAACAAAAACTGAGAGAATGTGTCACTAGCAAACTTGCCCTAAAAGAAATACTAAGGGAGTCCCTGAAGCTTAAATGAAAGGACACTAGATAGTAACACAAATCTACTTGAAAAAAATAAAGAGTATCGGTAAAGGTAAATAAACCAAAAACCCAAACCCACTGCTGTTGAGTTGCTTCCAACTCATACAACTCCATACAACAGAGTAGAACTGCCCTACAGGGTTTCCAAGGCTGTAATCTTTACAGATTCAGACTGCCACATTTTTCTCCCACAGAGTGGCTGGTAGGTTTGAACTGCTGACCTTTCGGTTAGCAGCCTACTGCTTAACCACTGCGCCACCAGGGATACTTATAAACGTAATTACATAGATAAATTTAAAGGACAGTATAAATGTATTTTCTGTTTGTAACTTTTTTCTCCTATCTGATTTAAAAGACAACTGCATAAAGCAATAACTAAATCTGTGTTGATAGGCACACAGTTTTAAAGATGTAATTTGTATTGATAATAACAGAACAAAGAAGAGGAGACAGAAAGGAGCTATATAGTTTTTGTATACTACTTAAATTAAGTTGGTATTAATCTGAAGTAGGTGATTATAAAATTAAGATGTTAATTGTAATCCCAGGGAACCAATAAGAAAATATCTAAAAAATATAGTAAAAGAAATGACAAGGGAACTAAAATGGTGCACTAGAAAATATCTGTTTAACACAGAAGAAGGCAATAATGGAAAAACTGAGGAACAAAAAAGATATAAGACATATAGGAAACAAATAGCAAAATGGCAGAAGTCCTGGCTTATCAGTAATTACATTAAATGTAAATGGATTAAACTCACCAATTAAAAAGCAGAAATAGGCAGAACAAAAAGCATGATCTAACTAGAGACTCACTTTAGATTCAAAGACAAATAGGCTGAAAGTAAAAGGATGGAAAAAGATATTCCATGCAAACAGTAAACAAAAGGGAGCTGTACTGGCAATTTTATATCAGACAAAACAGACTTTAAAACAAAAATTGTTAATAGAGACAAAGGAGGACATTATCTAATGATTGAAGGATCAATCCATCAAGAAGATATAAACATACATGCACCTAACAACAAAGCCCCAAAATACATGAAGCAAAAACAGACAAAAATAAAAGGGAAAACAGACAATTCAACAATAATAGTATGAGACTTTCATACCTCACTTTCAATAACAGATAGAAGAACTAGACAGAAGATCAGCAAATTTGAACAACATTATATACCAACTAGACCTAACAGACATCTATAGACCACATCACCCAACAATAACAGAATACACAGTCTTCTAAAGTGCACATGAAACATCTCCAGGATAGACTATATATTAGGCTGTAAATTTTAAAAGACTGAAATCATACAAACTATGTTCTCCAGCCACAATGGAACAAAATTCGAAATCAGTAACAGAAGGAAATTTGGAAAATTCATATATACGTAGAAAGTTAACAACACAGTATAGCCAATGAGTCAAAAAAAAAAAATTACAAGGGACATTAGAAAATACACTGAGATGAATGAAAATAACAACACAACATACCACAGTGAAAGCAGTGCTAAGAGCAAAATTTATAGCTGTAAAATATACATTAAAAAAGATAATCTTGAATCAGTAACTTAATTTTTCACCTTAAGCTAGAAAAAGAAGAGTAAACTAAACCCAAAACAAGCAGAAGGAAGGAAATAATACAGATTAGAGGAGAAATAAATGGAATAGAAAATAGAAAAAAAAATCAACAAAACCGAAAGTTGGTTCTCTGTAATAATCAACAATATTGACAAATCTTTAGCTAGACCTATCAAGAAAAAAAGAGAGAAGACTCAAATTACTAAAATCGGGAATGGAAAGGGGGACATTACTACCAATCTTACAGAAATAAATTGTCTAGAACATCTACATTTTTCAAAGGGGTGAATGTGGAGGAACTGGAAAGAGGCTATTTGGTAAATTTCAAAAATGGTAACCCACAAAGAGATTTGCGAGTTTCAAGTTTGCTTCTTGTGAAAAAAAGGGAAAACCTCTCTGATAAGTATTCTCTAGGGACTGGATAATGCCCTCGAAAACAGTAATAACAGCAGTAGTTCCAAGGAGAAAGATACAAGAAATTAAATGGACCCAAAATATTTCTTCATTGGAATACTTTTATGTTTACTATACAATGAAGAAGCCAGTACACACCCTTCAGGCTAATTGGCATCTAGCTAACCTTCTTTTCAGACCCTAACTTCTACTGCCATCTTGTGGCAGTGTTTAAAATCCAAGTCAATTATTTTACTCAAAAGCTGTGCTGGTCTCCTGACCAGAGGATTTCAATGACTTCCTAAGTGCTTACATTTTTATTTTCCCCTTATCAGTCTGAGAACATAAATATCATTATTTAAAAACATGTAATATATGCCTGGATACCTGGTGCCACTGACTGGAAAGAACAAAGTGAAACAGCTTATGCACAGAAAAACAGACTGTTTAAAATCTGCTGACATGTGTACCGACTATGTTGGTTTCTGACACTTCCTTCTCACCAGTATAACAGTCTCTGGGAGTGCTCCTTCCCTGCAGGCCTCTAACTCCCTGCTGGACAAATAGTAAACATCAGTTAATAAATATATCCCAGTTCCCTGGCTTTCCATACTCCCTCCTATTTCTCTATATCTGCACATTTAAGCATATGTTGTTCTCTCAGGGTGGGCAAGTCAGTCAAAGAAGGACCCACACTTTACTACTTTCAAAACAAACACAATGGACACTATTAATTCAGTCCTTGAACACTCCCACTGCTTTTACCCCTATATTCAGTCTCTGTGTTAGCTTCTAACATCAGGTCTCCATTGCTAAAAGAATAAAAGGTAATAAAAGGTTCAAGCAATGGTATCAGATACTTATGCCAAAACCAATAAAAGTTTAAGATTCTTGCCTTAAACCTCCGCTTTCCTTCAGCATTAGAAACCTAAATTTGGAAAGATAAGGTGAATATTACTTACTTGTCCCAAGCTACCAAAGCTAGCCACTCCATAAGGGGTAGACTCCACTGAGGAGGACCGACTGTATGAGGTGAAAAAAAACAAAAACAAATTAAAAAACTGATGTTAAACTTCTACAGAGACACAAGGTCTCCTCAGTCCCAATCTCAGCCACATCTAGGCTACAATGCCAGAAGCTATGCCACCAGTATTTCTTTCATTTTCCAACTTTGCCAACAGTTTTAATGTTGCTGTGCAGGCTTTATACTCACCTGACCACTTGGCTGCTATGCTGAGAACTGGGTCGTGGAGTAACTGAAAGAGAATAGACAGCAGAATGAAAAGTTGCCATAAATGGCACAACCTCCCTTGCCTCACCAATCTGTTGGCCTGCCTTTCCAAGTGGCTATCTGGCTGTATGATGTTTTCATATCATACATAGGATCAGGAAAATCACATTATAGTCTCTAAAAAGAAACCATCTTCCATATGGAGAAAGGGTATTTATTCATCTCACACAGGTATTTGGGAAAAAAAAAAATTCTCTACCTGACTGTGATGGGGAGGTGATGCCCACTGGTCGAGGTGTGGTTGACCTGCAAGAAAAAAAGAAAGAGGCAACTCTTATTTTGCTAAGCAGAAGTTAAGTGCCACCTCAGAGGATCAATCAGACCATTGTTTACAGAAATAAAAGCCTCCTCTCTGAGTACAAGTTGCTTACTTTCATATATTACAGGCGTCATCCCAAAGACATGGAGGCAAAGTTTCCACATGAGACACCTTTGTTCTTCAACCGTCTGAGTGAAACCTTCTCTATTTCTCTATTTATCATACAGAAGCAGTTCTGAAATACTCCCTTCTTCCCTCTCTTGGTGCCTTATCAATTACTTTCAATCTCACATATATCTATCCATTTGTCCATCCATACACGTACCCACCATTCCCTCACTCCCTCCATCCTCTTATCAGTTATTTAGTGCCCAACGTGTTCTAGATCCTGACATTACGAATATAACTAGAATAAGTTTCCTATCTTTGAGAGGCACAAGGCTATAGTAGGGGAGACCAAAAAAAAAAAAAAAAGTAATCAGAGCAATGTTTAAGTGCTATAATAGGAGTATCAGGGGTACAGAAGTATGAAAGAACACTACTGTAACTTTTGTGAGGGCAAGATCCATGTCTCTTTTTATCCACCAATGCAGGGCTGATATTAAAAATATTTAATGATTGGTAGGGCACAGGCCCACCATTTGTCTGTTTGTTGTACTGTGGTGGCTTGCGTTTGTTGCTGTGATGCTGGAAGCTATGCCACCAGTATTTCAAATACCAGCAGGGTCACCCATGGTGGACAGGTTTCAGCAGAGCTTCCAGACTAAGACAGACTGGGAAGAAGGACTTGGCAATCTACTTCTGAAAAAATTGGCCAGTGAAAACCTTATGAGTAGCAGCAGAACATTGTCAGATATGGTGCCAGAAGATGCGCCCCTCAGGTTGGATGGCACTCAAAATATGACTGGGGAAGAGCTGCCTTCTCAAAGAAGAGTTGACCTTAATGACATGGATTGAGTAAAGCTTTCAGGACTTTCATTACCTGATGTGGCACCACTCAAAATGAGAAGAAACAACTGCTAACATTCATTAGTAACTGAAATGTGGAATGTACAAAGTGTGAATCAAGAAAAAGTGAAAGCAGTCAAAAATGAAATGGAATGCTTGAAGATCGACATAAGTGAGCTGAAATGGACTGGTACTGGATACTCTGAATTGGACAATCATATGGTCTACTGTGCCAGGAATGACAAACTGAAAAGGAACAGCACTGCATTCATTGTCAAAAAGAACATTTCAAGATCTATCCTGAAATACAACACTGTCAGTGATAGGGTAATATCCATACGCCTACAAGAAAGACCAGTTAATACAACTATTATTCAAATTTACACACCAACCACTAATGCCAGAGATGAAAAAACTGAAGATTTTTTACCAACTTCTGCAGCCTGAAATTGATTAAACACATGATCAAGATGTACTGATAATTACTGGTGACTGGAATATGAAAGTTGGAAACAAACAAGGGTCAGTAGTTGGAAAATATGGCCTTGGTGATGAAAACGATGCGGGACATCACATGACAGAATTCTGCAAACCAACGATTTGCAAATGATCAAGCATATGATCAAGAACTGATGATGTTAACTGGACATACCTTTTTTTCAACAACATAAATGGTGACTATACACTGGATCTCCCCCAATGGAACACAGGAATCAAATCAACTACATCTGTGGAAAGAGATGATGGAAAAGCTCAGTATCATCAGTCAGGAACAAGGGCCAACTGTGGAACAGACCATCAATTGCTCATATACAAGTTCAAGCTGAAGCTGAAGAAAATTAGAACAAGTCCATGAGAGCCAAAGTCAAACCTTAAGCATATCCCACCTGAATTTAGAGACCATCTCAACAACAGATTTGATGCATTGAACACTAATGACCAAAGACCAGAAGAGTTGTGGAAGGACATCATACATGAAGAAAAAGGTCATTTAAAAAGACAGGAAAGAAAAGACCAAAATGAATGTCAGAAGAGACTCTGAAACTTGCTCTTGAACACAGAGTAGCTAAAACAAAAGGAAGAAATGATGAAGTAAAAGAGCTAAGCAGAAGATTTCAAAGGGTGGCTCAAGAAGACAAAGTATTATAATGACATGGGCAAAGACCTGGAGATAGAAAACTGAAAGGGAAGAACACACTCAGCATTTCTCAAGCTGAAAGAAATTAAGAAAAAAATTCAAGCCTCGACTTGCAATACTGAAGGATTCTACAGGGAAAATACTGAACGACGCAGGACGCATCAAAAGAAGATGGAAGGAATACGCTGAGTCACTGTACCAAAAAGAATTGGTCAATGTTCAACCATTTCAGGAGACAGCATGTGATCAAGAACTGATGATACTGAAGGAAGAAGTCCAAGCTGCACTGAAGGCACTGGTGAAAAACAAGGCTCCAGGAATTATGAAATACCAATTGAGATGTTTCGACAAATGGATGAAACACTGGAAGTGCTCATTCGTCTATGCCAAGAAATTTGGAAGACAGCTACCTGGCCAACCCGCTGGAAGAGATCCATATACATGCTTCTTCCAAAGAAAGGCAGAAATTATCAAACAATATCATTAACATCACATGCAAGTAAAATTATGCTGAAGATAATTCAAAAATGTCTGCAGCAGTACATCGACAGGGAACTGCCAGAAATTCAAGCTAGACTCAGAAGAGGATGTGGAACAAGGGATGTCACTGCTGATGTCAGACGGATTTTGGCTAAAAGCAAAGAATATCAGAAAGATGTTTACTTGTGTTTTATTGACTATGCAAAGGCATTCGACTGTGTGGGTCATAACAAATTATGGATAACATTGCAAAGAATGGGAGTTCCAGAACACTTAACTGTGCTCATGAGGAACCTGTACATAGACCAAGAGGCAGTCATTCAAATAGAACAAGGGGATACTGCGTTGTTTAAAATCAGGAAAGGTGTGGGTCAGGGTTGTATTCTTTTACCATACTTATTCAATCTGTATGCTGAACAAATAATCAGAGAAGCTGGACACGGCATCAGGATAGGAATAAGACTCATTAACAACATGTGATATGGAAATGACACAACCCTGCCTGCTGAAAGTGAAGAGGACTTGAAGCACTTATTGATGAAGATCAAAGACTATAGCCTTCAGTATGGATTATACCTTAATACAAAGAAAACAAAAATCCTCACAACCGGACCGATAAGCAACGTCATGATACATGGAGAAGAGACTGAAGTTGTTAAGGATTTCATTTTACTTGGATCCACAATCAACGCCCATGGAACAGCAGTCAAGAGATCAAATGATGTATTGCACTGGGCAAATCTGCTGCAAAAGACCTCTTTAAAATGTTAAAAGCAAAGATGTAACCTTGAGGACTAAGGTGCACCTAACTCAAGCCATGGTATTTTCAATTGCCTCATTGCATGTGAAAGCTGGACAATGAATAAGAAAAATGGAAGAAGAACTGATGTATTTGAATTGTAGTGCTGGTGAAGAATATTGAATATACCATGGACTGACAGAAGAACAAACAAATCTGTCTTGGAAGAAGTAAAGCCAGAATGCTTCTTGGAAGCGAGGATGGTCAGACTTCGTCTCACGTACTTTGGACATGTTCTCAGGAAGGAGCAGTCCCTGGAGAAGGACATCATGCTTGGTAAAGTAGAGGGTCCATGAAAAAGAGGAAGACCCTAAATGAGATGGATTGACACACTGGCTGCAACAATAGGCTCAAACATAGCAACAATTGTTAGGATGCGGCAGGACCGGGCAGTGTTTCATTCTGTTGTACATAGGGTCACTGTGAGTTGGAATGGACTCAACAGCACATAGCAAAAACAACACAGTACAGGCATCAACCAATTAGAAAGAACAGGTGATGTACACCCAGTACCTAATATGGTACTTGCTAAACAGTGGGCACTTAGTTAGCATTTATTGAATGAATGAGTAAAATACCTAAACCAAAACCAGTTGCTGTCGAGTTGATTCTGACTCATGGTGACCCCATGTATGCAGAGTAGAACTCCATAGAGTTTTCAAGACTGTGACCTTTTGGAAGCAGATCACCAGGCCTTTCTTCCAAGGCATTTCTGAGTGGGTCTGAACTGCCAACCTTTTGATTAGTAGCTGAGCACTTAACCATTTGCGCCACCCAGGGACTCTCACAGAACATCTAACTCTGCCTAATAAAGTCGTCACAGAGGGAATGACATGTGAGTTGAATTTTGAAGGATGACTAAGATTTCATAAGGGTGAGCATTACATTCAAGATTTTACTTCAGCAGTTTTTAGTGGGTAACTCTTTCTCTGAGAAATGACAAATAAATTCATCAGCCATTTTCCCCACCTCAGAGCCCACACAGGAGTTACAAGCAGCAGTCAAAAAGAATAGAAATTTTCTGTTAGTATGCGACCTGATAAAACTAACCTGCTTCCTTGGTATCGACTTGGAGATTCCTGTAGGTGAGAGAATGGGAATGAAGGAAGCTGCAATCACTGGATCTCAGAACCTTACTTGGCAGATAACTGCAATGCTCCCCTGTTGAGGTTACTAAGATTCCCAGTAAGAGAAAAAATAACAGCAGTGTTTCCTCAGGAAATTATTAGCTGTGGGGGAATAAAATTTTACTTTCTCTTCATAAAAACACACTAGGAATCCCTGTAGGCTGACATATGTGGGAAAATATGGAGAGTCTCAGGGGAGAGCTGAGAAGAAAGGAAGAGAACAGTATTAAAACACAGAAGAATAGTTACAGGAATGGGATAAATAGGGAAATTATACAAACACACAGAACATTCTTAGGAAGACAGGAAATGCCTAGGAAGTACAGTGTGAGGGAGAGGAGAGCTATCTTGGGGTTCTTGAAGAGAAATTTTAAGTTGCAACAAATGTCTCTTCTATAACAGAGTTTCCCAACTGGTATGCCATGACTCATTGATGTTCAAGAATGGGTTACAAGCATGCTAAGATATTGACCCTTTCAGCACTCCGAGGTCTTCTGTGACTTCTCCATTTACTACAGTGTGCTTGTTGTACAAACGGTATCAATCTCTATATGTGCCACGATGTAAAAAGGGTCTGGAAATACTAAATATAGTTAGTAAGGCACAGGCATTAACCAATTAGAAAGGACAGGTGATGTACACCTAGTTAGCCAGGTAGGTGGGAAAAGTAGGAAAGAAAATAATAAAGGAAAATTTATTTCATTCACCTTTAGGATGGCTAGAAACTTCTTCAGTTCTTCATTCTCCTTCCTTAAGACTGATAGTTCTCTAGGCAAAAAATGGAAACAACCAGCTCCAGCAGGTCAGTGGGATTAAAAAACCTATTTGTATTATTATTATCAACATTTAGTGAAGCTTACTGAGAGATCCTTACCCCTACCTAAGGAATTTCTATCAGAGATGTGGTGATTCAAGGATACAGTAGTAGGGTTCTGAAGGTGAAAAAATCAGCAAGACAAAATAAGCAGTCACATAGTATGATTTCAAGGGAGCCTGCATGGAATTCCATTTCCTCTCCACACACACCCCTGCCTGCTGATGCCTGAAAACTTCCATCAAGAATTCCATCTTTTAGCTTAAGACTTCTAAAATATTTCCTCCTAGAGGTAACATTTTAAATGTTATCTCTCATTTTTATAAGTGTGAATAAGCTATATCTGAGTTCTCTGAAGAAGCAGTTTTGATGGGGGAAGGAGATAATGAAAGCTATAAAGTGAGGAGGACCCCCGAGGGAAGAAAGAGAAAAATAACTGGGGGTTGAAGGGACCAAAAATTCTTTCCCTGATTTTCCCAAGACAAACACAAACACACATAGGGCAATTTTCAGGAAATAAGGCTTACAGTTTCTCTAAAAGAAAAATGCTATGTGAGGATTTGATCTGTCACTTACTTGTCCTGGCTGGCCACTGTTTGCTGGGCCTCCTGCATGTCTGCTTCTAACTTTGTAATTCTATGCTTATAAAAGGCGATGAGGAGATCTGTTTGTTTCTTCTGAAAACGCCATACCTACTAGGGAAAAACAGGCCTTTGACATACAACCATATAACTGCTTTCCCCTCACTTCCAGCAACAAAGGGAAATCCATCAATTCATACTTTATTACAGCTCATTTTTTCTAATTCACGACTCCCTAAAACTAGAGTGTTCAGTACTAGGGAAAGCTGAAACTGGTCATTCCCAAGACACTGACTTTCTAATATCTTAATAAGAATTGTTCTGACATACAGTGGTCCTTTAAAAATATAAACTTTCATTCTGAGCAAGAAGACTGAGACCCAAAAACACTTTTTTTCAAGCTCAGAACTAGTTCTGATCTAACTTGTCCACTATTAGTTTGGACTCAGCTTCTATATTCATAACTATTACAGAGCTCTGGTAACTCATTTACTTTCCTCAGAACACTCACACCAAGAGTCACTTTCAGGCTGTTTATGCTGCTACAGTAAGGGGTGAAGAGGCACAGAAGGGGATTACCTATTCCTGAGTTTTATTTCTGGGTATGAACAAACAATTTTATCTTTTGCCTCGCTTTATCATTTGATATAATGATGTGCCTGTCACAGGATAGCTGAAATGATCAAAAGTTAATATTTAGAGAGTGTTTTAGCTTTGTCAGGCGCTGCTTTTGAGTACACAGCAGTATTTATGTCTCATCTGCTTCCTCCCTACTCAGACTATAAACTTCGCATCTAGGGTGCTTCCCTGGATCCTGGTACTCTGCTCGTAAACTTTTTCTTTTCACCTAATTTTCAAGTTGCTTTTGCCACTGGACTCTTTCCTTTACACTCGAAGACAAACTGAACTAGTTTTAGATAGATAAGACTTTATCTTTTGTGAAACTAACTTCCTCATTTCACAAAATCTAAAGGTCTTAATACTTTCTAGCTATATCACAGGATAAACATATAATTGATGAAAAGAAATTTCTTTATAGAAGCAGTCCAGCTAAAAGATGAGGAAGGAATGACAGAATTAGAATATTACTATTTTGCAACTCCTAATTAATGGATCTATGAAAAGTTCATCAATGGCTACCGTCATACAAAATGAGAAACAGAAGACCATTATCTCTTGATGAAACAAAACACTGATATAATCTTGACAAAACATCCCTAAGTGATTCTGATTAAGCCTAAATCTACCTATTAATTTACAATACAGAGGGCAGAGGAGCAGATTAAATGACTTCATGGGCATACAGTGAACAAAATCCACATTAAACAATTCTACAGGACAAAAGAACATTTCCTTCAACAATAATAAAAATAAAATAAAAAAAGAAATGAGAAGATATGTATACATTAAAAGAGTCTTAAGAGACACAACAACCAATGGAAATATATACTCCTTATTTGAATCCCAATTCAAACTTCAAAAAAAAATCATGGGAAAATGTGAACCCTGACTAATTGATACTACTAAGGAATTATTATTTTAGCATGACATTGTAGTTATATTTAATAAAGGAGTCCCCACCTTTTAGAGATACACACTGAAATATTTACAGATTGAAACAATATATCTGGTATTGCCTTCTAAACAATCTGGGTGGAGTGGCAGGAGATACACGTGAAGGAAAATTGGCCATGAATTGATAACTGTTCAAACTGGGTAATGGATACATGGAGATTCATTATACTAGCCTATTCTTAGATATTTGTTTGAAATTATGTATGATAAAAAGTTTTAAAAACTATTGGTCATTGATCTTTTTTGTTTGGTATTTTTGAGAAGGGGTAGGAAGAATTATTGTCTTTTTACTCAACAAATCTTCACTGGAAACTTAATGCTAGGCATAAGAACTGGAAATGCTAAGATGAGCAGTACAGGTTCTTGCCCTCTAGTAGTGGCACAGTATAGCAGAAGAGACAGACATGTGAACCAATAATAAACAAACACAACGTGATATGTATAACAGAAAAAGTATGTACAAAGAGTAGAAGTAACAAAGATAATTTAGCAAACTGATAGGATACCCTGGTGGTGTAGTTGTTAAGTACTACGGCTGCTAACCAAAAGGTCGGCAGTTCAAATTCACCAGGTGCTCCTTGGAAACACTATGGGGCAGTTCTACTCTGTCCTATAGGGTCATTGTGAGTTGGAATCGACTCAACGGCAATGGATTTATAGGACAGAGTAGAACTGCCCCATAGGGTTTCCAAGGAGCAGCTGGTGGATTTGAACTGCTGACCTTTTGGTTAGCAGCTGTGCTTTTAATCACTGCGCCACCGAGGATCCAAAGACAATTATTAATTCAGTCTTTGAAGGGTGGTAAGTCAGGAATTCCAGGGAGTGAGGTATGAAACTATATGGTATGTACTGCCGACAAGTAGATCTACCTTACAGATTAGATAATAAATAACCTCAATATAATATATATTGGTATATAAGATGTGGAGTGAGAGTTGTAGATGAGATTGGAAAGGTTATAAGGAACCAATAATTAAGAGAACTAGGTATCACTCTGAGGAGTCTGGAACTTAGGTGATGGAAAGGCATCAAACCGTTTTAATGAGGCAGTTCTATATTCAGATTTTTAAATGAAACAGATTATTGTGGTGGGTCAAGGAGAAGAGATTTGAGCAAGAAAGAACCCTGAAAATGCTTATCAAAAGTAATTAGAGGACTAAACCAGTTGCCACTGAGTCGATTCCAACCCACGGGGATCCCATGTGTGTGCCAGAGTAGAATACAACCAAACACTTTGAGGGACACAGTAGCAGGGACAGGAGTCTGGGGACCATGACTCCATAGGATTTTTTTTTTTTTTATTGTTGTACTTTAAGTGAAAGTTTATAATTTTAGTCTCTCATACAAAAATTTATACATACATTGTTATGTGACCCTAATTGCTTTCCCTATACTGTAACAGCACACTCCCTTCCAGCCCTGATGTTCTGTGTCCATTCAACCAGCTCCAGACCCTCTCTGCCTTCTCATCTCACCTCCGGACAGGAGCTGCCCATTTAGTCTCACGTATCTACTGGAGCTAAGAAGCACACTCTTCACGAACATCATTTTATGTCCCATAGTCCAGTCTAATCTGTCTGAAGAGTTGTCCTTGGGAATTTTTTTAGCTCTGGGTTGACAGAGAGTCCGGGGGCCATGCTTTCTGGGGTTCCACCAGTCTCAGGCAGACCATTAAGTGTGGTCTTTTTACTAGAATTTGATTTCTGCACCACACTTTTCACCTGCTCCATCAGGGACTCTCTGCTGTGTTCCCTGTCAGGGCAGACACTGGTGGTAGCCAGGCACCATCTAGTTCTTCTGGTCTCAGGCTGATGCAGTCTCTGGTTTATGTGGCCCCTTCTGTCTCTTGGGCTAATACTTTCTTTGTGACTTTGGTGTTCTTCATTCTCCTTTACTCCAGGTGAGTGGGGACCAATTGATGCATCTTAGATGGCCACTCATTAGTTTTTAAGACTCTAGACGCCACTCACCAAAGTAGGATTCAGCACATTTTCTTAATAATGTCAGCTGACCTAGATGTCCCCTGAAAGCATGGTCCCTAGACTCCTGCCCCTGCTACTCTGTCCCTCGAAGTGTTTGGTTGTATTCAGGAAACTTCTGAGCTTTGGTTTGGTCCAGTTGTGCTGACTTCCCCTGTAGTGTGTGCTGTCCTTCCCTTCACCTAAGATAATTCTTGTCTAATATCTACCTAGTGAATAACCCTCTCCCTCCCTCCCTACCCTTGTAACCATCAAAGAATGTTTTCTTCTGTGTTTAAACCTTTTCTTGAGTTCTTATAATAGTGGTCTTATACAATATTTGTCCTTTTGCAATTGAGTAAATTTACTCAGCATAATGCCCTCCAGATTCCTCCACGTTATGTTTCACGCATTCATCGTTGTTCTTTATCGTTGCGTAGTATTCCATTGTGTTAATATACCATAATTTGTTTAACCATTTGTCCGTTGATGGGCACCTAGGTTGTTTCCATCTTTTTGTTATCGTGAACAGTGCTGCAATGAACATGAGTGTGCATATATCTATTCATGTCATGGCTCTTATTTCTCTAGGATATACTCCAAGGAGCGGGATAGCTGGATCATATGGTACTTCTATTTCTAGCTTTTTAAGGAACTGCCAAATCGATTTCCAAAGTGGTTGTACCATTTTACATTCCCACCAACAATGTATAAGTGTTCCAGTCTCTCCACAACCTCTCCAACATTTGTTATTTTGTGTTTTTTGGATTAATGCTAGGCTTGTTGGGGTGAGATGGTATCTCATTGTAGTTTTGACTTGCATTTCTCCAATGGCTAATGATGGTGAGCATTTCTTCATGTGTCTGTTAATGTGCCTGTTCATATCCTTTGCCATTTTTTAATTGGGCTGTCTTTTTGTTGAGGTTTTGCAGTATCTTGTAGGTTTTAGAGATTAGACGCTGATCAGATTTGTCGTAGCCAAAAACTTTTTCTCAGCCTATAGGCTGTCCTTTGACTCTTTTGGTGAAGTCTTTTGATGAGCATAAGTGTTTGATTTTTAGGCACTCCCAGTTATCTAGTTTCTCTTCTGGTGTTTGTGCATTGTTACTCATGGTTCGTATTCTGTTTATGCCATGTATTAGGGCTCCTAGCGTTGTCACTATTTTTTCTTCCATGATCTTTATTGTTTTCGATTTTGTATTTAGGTCTTTGATCCATTTTGAGTTCATTTTTGTGCATGGTGTGAGGTATGGGTCTTGTTTCAGTTTTTTGAAGATGGATATCCAGTTACGCCAGCACCATTTGTTAAAGAAACTGTCTTTTCTCCAATTAATGGACTTTGGGCTTTGTCAAATATCAGCTGCTCATAGATGGATGAATTTAAGTCTGGATTCTCAATTCTGTTCCATTGGTTTATGTATCTGTTGTTGTACCAGTACCAGGCTGTTTTGACTACCATGGTGGTATAATAGGTTCTAAAATCAGGTAGTGTGAGGCCTCCCAATTTGTTCTTCTTCTTCAGTAATGCTTTACTTATCTGGGGCCTCTTCCCTTTCCATATGAAGTTGGTGATTTGTT